AAAAAACGAGAGGGAGCGAGCGAAAAGACGTTTTTTGAACGCACACGAACATGCGAGCGCGGGGGTTGAAGCGTGTGACGTCTGCAGTTTCCACGAGGAGAGAGCGCGATGAAATCGGGTGGCCACGTTTGGGCAACTCATTCCACTGAAACTCGGGAGTCACGAAAAATTCCCACGCCGTGAAAAGCGACGGACTCAATTCGGCCTTCCGGCCCGACCGCTTGGACGCGCCCCGGTTGGGCAGAAGAAAAGCGAGCGCTTGCTTCCGCTTCCGACGGCTGACGGCGCGCCTTCTTTTTTTTTGTTTTTTTTTTCCCTCCGCTTTCGTCCTTCGGGAAGAGCGACGGCGTGACGCTGCGAGCCGGACAGAATTGTGTTCTGCCCGAGTCAAAGCGGTCCCGTCGCCGCTCCAAAACCGGAAACTCGTCGAGGAGAAATCGATCACGTTGTCATGTCAAACATGTTGACACTCGAGCCCTTTCTTTCCTGGTACGGAAGCCAGAAAAGAGTGGCTGACAAATTTGGGAGTTCCATTTCTCGTCAAGTACGACAAAGGAAAAGAAAAGTGCATTTGGGAGACTGATTTTTCTTTTCTGCCAAAACAACAAAACGATTGAGCCAGAAGAAGCCTTCCTTCGGGCTACGTCGGCTCGCCCATGATCTGCCTCGCGCCGCCGTTGCCCCCTCTTGCTCCTCTTTTCCTCGCCTCGCTCTCATTCTGCGAACAATTCCAAACATTCCACCGTGAAGGCGTCGGGGCGCGGCCGCTCACCTCGCACCTCGTTGGCAGTTGCGTTGCGTGTGCCGAGCCTTTCCCCGCCTTCTCCCCGATTGTAATTTGAGGAGCAGGGAATGAGCCCAACGGAAGCGGGAACGCTTTCAAACGGCGCAAGGAAGGCGGGAAAAAGGAGCAAAAGAAGGAAGCGCGCGGGGCTCCGAGTGGCCCCCGGTCGGGAGCCGCCGTCCCGGTTCATGCCGACCGCGTGACTTGCTGTGCAGAGCCCGTTTCCGGCGTGACGCTGAGCGCCAACCTCGCCGAGGCGGTGGAGCACAACAGCACGGTGGTCCTGACCTGCGCCGCCAAGGGGTCCTTCCTCAACTTCACGTGGCTCAATGGCACCACCTCCGTCGTCCCCGGCCCGCGCCTGGCCATCGTGGAGGTCAGAGGTCATCCCGTCCCGTGCCATGCCGCGTGGCGACTCTGACCCCCCCGCTTACCTATCTCCAAAAGGGCGAGGGGACCAGTCAGCTGACCATCACGGGCGTCCTACGCACCGACCTGATGCGACCCATCTCCTGCAGCGCCGCCAACAAACTGGAGACGGAGAAGAGCGCCCCCTTGAGCCTGCCCGTCCACTGTGAGTACCGCGCCGCCGGCCGCTCACTACTTGAGCGTCCCGATGCTGGCCACTCCCCCGGCACTTCAGGTGTGCGTGAATTTGCTGCTCGTGTTGGTGTTGGCATTCCACCCGCATCCTCACTCAGCTGGAGTGTAGACACACACACACACACACACACACACACACACACACACAAGCGCGTCTGGACACAGCGAAGCTTTGTCAATCCATTTTTGAGTCAGTCCCGCCGTCACGGTGGTCACGCCACACGCATCACCGTAGGCGTCACGTGACCCTCGCGGCACGCCAGTGTCCAGACGGTACGGATGAGGTGACCATCACGGCGTCCGACCCGTCCGCGTTCGTGCGGGCCGGCTCCGACTTCAACCTGACGTGCGCCACGCGCTCT